TTAAAAATGAGAGGGGCGGGGAGGGAAAAGAAAGGAGAGGGAAGGAAGGAAGGAGGGAGGAAGGGAGAGGAGAAAGGAAGGAAGAGAAAAACTGCCTGGAAATTTAAAATGTGAAATTGCTGACCACTTTGGAGCAGCCCACCTTCGTGTCCAGCCCCTTCGCAGGGCTCCTGAGGGCTCATGGCTGTCTTTGCTCCATCTCTGGGTAAAGATGCCCCTCCGCTGCATGCTACGATCAGGACGCCTCTGCCACACTGGGTACAGAGTGCACAGGCCACTGGGGCTTGGCTGTGACACCCACACCACGGTCACTGGCTCCCTAGCTCACACAAGTTCCGGGCTTTCCGGCTCCGGGAGCCTTGCATTCCTTCCCCGCTCATCCTAGTCCCGAGGCCCTGTCCCTTCCGTCAGTCCTCTCCAGTGGGCCACTGGCCCGGAGAGGGGAGGAGGAGGGGAGGGAGGGAGTGGAGGGCGAGGCAGAGGTGGGGGGGAAGCGGCAGGCCCGGTGGCACAGAGGAGCAGCCCTGAGACAGCGCCTGGCGGGCGCCCCCTGCGAGCCTTGCATTCCTTCCCCGCTCATCCTAGTCCCGAGGCCCTGTCCCTTCCGTCAGTCCTCTCCAGTGGGCCACTGGCCCGGAGAGGGGAGGAGGAGGGGAGGGAGGGAGTGGAGGGCGAGGCAGAGGTGGGGGGGAAGCGGCAGGCCCGGTGGCACAGAGGAGCAGCCCTGAGACAGCGCCTGGCGGGCGCCCCCTGCAGACCCCCCGAGCTCCAGGGGCCCCCGTGGCCCAGCCGGGTGGCTGAGGCCTAGTTTAAATCTCATGGTTCACTGTTATCACCGTTCCCGGGTCTCTCATTCTGCCCAGTGTTGTCCAATTTCAACAAATGAAACGTGATTTTGCTGTCAGGCTGTGAAAAAGACAGTCGCTGGCGTGGGAGAAACTCCCGGCCCGCGACTCCCGGCTGCGCCCCACGCCCACCCTCCCAGCCCAAAGCCACCTCTCCTGCCACAGCTAGCACCGGTCGCAGGTGAGCCGGAGCCTTCGATGGGCCCTGCACACTCCAGGTGGCCCTGTGTGGCCCACTCGCTCATGGTCCCCGATGCCACACCGCGTGGGCCGTGGGGGCCCTGGCTGCCCCTGCCGAGGTTTTCCTGGGAACCTCTGCTGTTCGTGTTGGCGGCCTGGCCTTCCCCGACCGTCCTGTCGGGCTCCTCCCACAGCCCTCAGGTCTGCCCCTGGAGCCCAGCCCAAGCCTGTGGCCTCCCTCAGGCTGGACGGACCCAGGTGGAGCCCCATGGACCCTGCACGCCAGGGCGAGGACATCGGGACCCAGGGACACCCGAGACCTCCGCATCCCCGGCTGTGTGGGCTGTGGGCCACACCTCTGCCCCAGACCACCGCGGCCGGCGGCCCCCACCTGTGCAGACCCTCGCGGGCGACCGCCCCCGCCTGCTCTTCCTCTAGCGGACACAGGGCCTGAGAATGAGTGGATCAGGACCCTCTGGGCACTCCCCCTGCCACACACCGGCCTGCGGGGCACTGGACATGGAAGGGGCAGAGCAGGACGGGGCGTGGGCTGGGGCAGGCTGTGGCGCTAGAGTCGGCCAGGTCCCCATCGTCACAGCAGCCGCAACTTCTCTCCCGGTGATTTCTGTCCTTTCCTCCCTGGGTGGGGTGTGGTTGTGCACGCTGACATTTAACCTACACTTGAACTATTTCATGCCCCAGTGCCTCTTACAATCACCAGCAAAAAAACAAGTGCCCACCTGTTTTAAGACTTTATAAATGAAATTATTTTTTTCATATTTTTATCAATGTTTGCAATGCATAATGATTGCATTCACCGTGGGGAGTTCATCCAAGTACCAATGCATCGTAAATCACCTTTAAATTTTATTCTGACACCGGGCCTCATGTTGCCTAAACCAGGCTGAAACTCATGATCCTCCTACCTCAGCCTTCGTATTATTTTAAAATCTTTTAAAAAACAAAACAGTAAATCATTTGTGATGCCTTCAAAGAATATTACATTAATAAAAGCTACCCTTCACTACAGTGGGGTTTGTCCAACACGGGGTGGGAGCTAGTTTCTCCTAAAACTGTGAAGTTCTGGTCACCAAGGTTTGCAGGCCTTGGTTTCCCCGGACTCTGCTGCCCCCTGTCGAAAGATGGAGTACTGAACACGACGTCCCAGAACTGCAGTCTCTAGGGTTTCCACTGTGACAGAAAACTGGGCCTCTCACACCTCATGAATTAAGGCCAAAGAGTAGTCTGCTTCCTGGAAGGGGACCAAGAGATGCAGGGGTGGGGAGGGAAAGAGATGAAGGAAGAATTAAGATGCATTATGTCCGCGTATCAGCTCCCCTTGAGCAACGTGATCATTAAATACTGCAAACGTGGATTAATAAAATTTTTAATTATTTGCTTAAAAATATGCCAGCTCATTTTGTGCTTGGAAGTTCCCGCACAACTCCCAGCAGAAATGTGCAGTCCTCCAGGGCTGTGGCTCCTGTGCCTCACCGGCCACCAGGGACACTTGGGCAGAGCCCCAGGAAGCTATGCAGGGCCACAGAGGCCAAGGGGCCACTGTGGGAAAGTGCTAGGGCCAGGGCGACAGGAAGCCCACGCCTGGCAGGGGGAGCGCAGGCCACAGCAGAGGGGAGCTGCTGTGTGGCCGCCAGCTCTGAGCTCAGCACCCTCAGCCCGGGACACTCAGCTCCTGGTGAACAAGGAACTGCGGACCCAAGGGACACTCCTTAGGGTACACCAGCGACCACGGCCCGAGCTCGGCCCACAGGAAACACCCCACTGAGCGCCCAGCACCTGCCAGGATGTGGATGCCCCAGGGAGCTAGCTCCTGGTGACCCGTGTATCTCCCTCTCGCTCGGAGGCTGGCCCCCCCAAGCTGCACGCTTCCCCTCTTAACAGCCCTCGGCCAAGTCCAAGCACCATCGGAAACCAGCGGGTTCTTCTTGCCCTTCACCCATGTGCCACTGGTTCTCGGTCACTGCCACGGCCAGGTCTGTCCACTCCAAGGTCTCCTGGCGATTCTTCCTCAGTCCTGGAGATTCCAGGCAAGGAAATACCAGTCCTCAGAAAAAGGAGGCTCCCTTTCTCCATCAGAGCCACAGGGTACAGTCTCGTTTCAGCAGTCAGAACAGTCCACAGTGGCTACAGCACCCGTGGGCGGAAGCTCTGGTAGTGCAGCCGTGGTCCCCAGCACGGCCCTTGTCCCCTCTGCCCCTGCAGGCCCGGTGCTGGCTTGCGTTGCCTCGGTCCTCAGCCTCCCCTGGCTCACGGGGGCAGCACTGTGTGCCGTGCCTGCAGATCAGCAAGCGGGATCGTGAGGATCCACGGGAGCCCCGCAGCCTGCAGAAGGCAGAGGGTCCCCAGGCAGCTGGAGCTGGGGCCGAGCGAGCGCGCTCCACCAGCCCCACACTCTCCACCAGCGCCAGCGAATGGGCACAGCAGGAGCCACAGGGCCACACGCCTACCAGGGTGCCCCAGCACCAGCCTGGCCAGCGTTCCTCAAGGACAACTGGCTCCCACAGCACAGCCAGGCTTCCCTGGGGCTGCAGGTCCACAGGCCGGTTCCCATGGCCCTAAGCTCTTCTGCCCTTTTATCTTCGATCACTGCCACACTGGGGGCGGAGGGTTCCCTAGAGGAGGACTTCCAAACTTTAATGTACACATTAATCAGTTTCTTTGGAAGATGCAGCTTCTCAGCTGGGCATGGTGATACCGGCTACAATTTCAGCACTCGGGAGGCTGAGGCAGGAAGATCCCAAGTTTTGAGTCCAACCCAGGCAATTTACTAAGGCAACTTAACTGTCTCAAAATGCTGAAAATGAAAATTTACAAAGGGCTGTGGAAGTGGCTCAGTACAAAGATGGGTTCCATCCTCAGAAGTAAAATGAAATCGGGTTTCTCATCAGTAGGGCAGGCAGAACCTATGTGCTGCAAAGATCAGCACATCAGCCCTGACCTCCAGGCCGCACTGCCAGGGGCAGGGACCGAGCGCTCAGAGTAATGGAGCCGTTTCTCCTGGGGCCTCACCTCACCACAGTGCCAAGTGACCCTGCCCTCACCTGTGCCAGGACGGAGCCATCCCGGAGCTTCAGCCTGGACCCATCGGCTTCTCCACTCCTCTTCCCGAGCCTGAATTCCCAGCACGGTGAACCCCCCAGGCAGTGCCGACACGGCTGTCATCCTCCGGCCCCGAGGCCACAGCCAGCTCCACCTGTCTGGGTCCTGTCCCCGGCTCACCGGTAAAGGCAGCAGATGACTCAGGCGCTCCCCAGACTGTGCTGTCCAGCACCGCCCCTACACGGGCTGTTCTTTCCTGGCTCAAGTGGGAGCCCGTCGTGTGTGTGTGGTCAAGGCGCAGTCTCTGCACCCAGAAGTAAAACCCTTCTTCCCGAAGTAGCATCAGACTGCAGTAGATAAAGCACTTGCCCCAGGTTTTCACGCTGACCTTGCTCCCTCCGCCCGCCCACGGCTCCTGCCCACGGGCCCAGCTCCTTCTGTGCTCCTTGTCCCCTAGCACCCGCGACTGGCTCCTCTTGGCTCACTTCCAGGCCCTCGGGGACTGAGCCCACCTGCGGTCTTCCGTGTGCTTGGCAAGGTTTCTGGTCCTCTGTGCAGCCATTCCGGTCCTGTGCCTGAGGGTCTTGGCGGAGGGCGCAGGTCACAGCTGGCCGTGGCCAGGTCAGGACCGCGCCTCTCCGGTCCCACCCCAGGACACCGGCACCGTTGTCCTTCAGGACACTTTTAACCTCATCAGATTCAGGAGCAGCTGGAAACCAGAGCCAAACAACGGAGCATGCACAGCTGCAATGATCTCTTCTGGTTCCTTATTTTATCAAGAGAAACATTCTTTGGTTTCCTGGCATTAAGTTCCCTTGCTGGGTAGAGAACCCAAAGAGCTGACTTACTAAGCGGCATGGGCAGGAAAGCGCAGTGTGGCAACAACAGAGGCGACTCAAGAGTAACACGTGGTGCGCAGGACTTCAGACAGTAAGTTTTATTCATCGGTGGGACTTGGTGCTCGCAAGGCACCATACAACAAGTTTAAAAAATACAATACGAAAAAACTGAACAGCCAAAGAGATTAATTCCATTAGAGGGCAATGGCCCACAGAAACACCAACAAAAGCCCACAGAAAAGCCCCCATACGAACATTTAATTTCTCTCTGCTAAAGTTTGGCTTTTAAGAAACATCAAAACAAAGTGCAAAAGAAAAGGTCTTTGAGGGTTAGAGCTTCACACAGCATCTCTCACACGCCTACATCACAAAATGCTTCCCCGCACAGTAAGGGGCACCCGAGTGACCCCAGCCGGTGGAGCCGCTGGTCCCACAACTTTAGGTCACAGCCTCGTCTTTCTCCTCTCCACTAAGATCCCAGGGGCGCAAGGTGTGCCGGCTTCCTGCTCCCACTACAAGAGCCACCTCCTGAACTAGCCGGGGCCCAGCACCGGTACCCATGTAGACAACTGAACTGAACTGGAAACCCAACTAGGACTTCCCAAGGGCAGCCGAAAAGTAGGCTTTGGCTCTGGCATCTGATCGTACTCATTCTCCTGATTAATGATGACTGAAGGCCACTGAGACGCGCCAGGCAGCAGGATTTAATATGGCGCCGGGAGGGAGACAAGTGCCCGAGAACTTCTGAGCACAGGACGGTGGATTTGGAACGTGTGTCTGACTACTGCACAGTGCCATGCACTGTGAGAAAGCAGACGCTAGGTCCTGGGGACTGTTCCCGCTCACCAGTTCTCTACGTGGGAGCTCCCCAAGCCGCCATGGCCCGGGAGCACAAAGCCCTTCTCTCTGTCCACACAGCTCCAACAGTGCCCACAGCTGCAGAGGAGACAGCACCACCACGGGCAGGCAGGCAAAGGTCTGAAGCCAAGACGCCTGGGGCCGTAAGATGAAACTGGGAAAAACTTGCCAAACTCGCTGAAGCCCAGTGCCTGGTTTCCCCAGAACTCAGGGCACGTGGGCATCAGCTGCATAACCAGGGCAGGCGGGAGATGCAGCCCTCAGTGCTCAGCGTGGCCGAGGCTCCCGTCATCAGTAGGCCAGGCCAGGCCAGGGCAGGGGCGTCACCGTGTCCCGCCCAGTGGTGGGAGGCAAAGGCCCTTCCCTAAGGTACAGCGCCAAAGGCTGCACGTTCGGCTAAGACGGCCACCTGCTTTCCAAACAGACCGCAGGGTGGACTCCGGCCACTTCCTCCTGAGGCCGGGAGAAGCATTTTGGAGACAGAGGTGAGGGTGCAACACGAGTGCAGCCACAGCGCTCAGCTCTGCCGCACATCACCAACGGAACAACGCAATTTGACAAAACGCCACCACGGCACACAGCTCGTACACTGCCGACTACTTTCTACAAACCAGGCCACAAAAGCTCAAAGTAAGCCAGTTTCTACACAAACTGATACTTTTATCAAAGCTCCGCATTTTACAGTTCATGTTCAAAAAACACACACAAATTAGCATTTTGTACACAAATGTTTATTTCTCAATTAAACATTCCCTTTAAATACAAGGAATGAATTCTAAATCTTCATAAAGATGAATTAAAAATGAAATCCCTCCAGTATAGTGCGCATAATCACTGTGTTCTTGGTCGCTACTGGCGTTTATTGTTTAACATCAAAAACAAAGACAGGTTATTTAAAAATCATGCTACAGGATTTCTAGTTCTTCCTCTAGGACCAGCTCTATACTGATCGGCAATGTTTAAAATTTTACATCACCAAACTGAAGCAAGTTTAAGGGTGAAACAGCTGTGCACGGGACATGAAGCCAGCAGGACACTACAAGATGTAGTCGAGTTCGTAGCGGATGTAGGTGTTCTTATCGTCGTTGTAGATGCGGGGGTAGTGCGCGATGAGAGCATCCTGGGAGCCGATGTAGATGGAGTTGTAGATCTTCCAGTACACATCCCGGACCTTCCGAGCTGGGTGGAACAGGCCCTGCAACAAGCAAAGTACACCGTGACCTCAGTGTTCAGGCACACATGACCTTACAACATTAACAGACTGTAGAGACTTCATCGAAAAACATCCTAGCAACGCACAACGGCACAGTGGAAGGACAAACTCTCACCCCGCACCACCAGCCTCCCCCGCAGGACGGCCTGGCCCACGCCACACGCACCTGCAGGCAGTACTGCAGCATCCTGCACGGCCCGATGGCGACCCGGAGCCCCTCCAGCGCACCCATGACTGCCTGGATCACATGGGGTGACGTCTCGAACACATTGGGCCACACGTAGTTCAACAGGTGATTCAGAGAATCCTCACAGCCGAAGCCATACACGCCCAGCGACATGTGCTGCACCACTGCGCTGGCTGTCTGTCGGTGCACAAGGTCCCTGCAGAGGAGGGAAGTGGCCTTGCTGCAGCTGCTTTGCAGGAAACATTCCCCGCCTCTAGTAACCACACCGCTCACTCGGGGCGGACCTCGGGACCCACCCCACACCCTGCACCCTGCAACCTGCACTGGACTCATCTTGTGGACCACAAGGATCCACGCCACAACTTCTGCTTGGACCACTCAAGCCTAAAGCTCAAAATCAGCCTCTTTTCTAACCAATCTTCAAAGAGAAGATGAACAAGAGCCCTGTGTGTTTTTGGATTAATGCACTACTAAAAGTTGGGTGTCGTGGTGCATCCCTATAACCCCAGCACTCAGGAGGTTTGGGGCCAGCCTGGGCTACACAGTGAGACCCTATCTCAAAAAGCAGGCAACCAAAGAGGTCCATCCATGTGACTCTTACAGATGAAGGTTCACAGCACCTCACCTTCAACACTATTAATTTGCAATCTTTTTTTTTTTGTACCAGGGATCGAACTCAGGACCTTGCGCTTGTCAGGCAGGCGTTGCACCACTGAACTACATACATCCCAGCGCCTCTAGAAATCTTTGATAGTAGTTCAGATACTAGCATACAATAAGTTACTAAAAATTAAATCTCCTCTGACCAGGGATTTAGCTCAGTGGCACTGTGCCTACCTTGCAAGTACAAGGTCCTGAGTTTGATCCCCTATACCAAAACAAAAATCTCCTCTAATGTAAATATGAAATTTCATTCAAACACTTCACTCCAAGAAGATGATCAATGAGTTTCTCTCAAACCTAGAGAAATACAAACTCTTTTCCTGTGTTACCTGAATTTATGTTTGTGTCCACGGATGAGCTGCTAACCCACGTCACTCTGAGAATGAGCATGGGGTGTGCATGCAGTGGGTGGAAGGAGCTTGCACTCCACCCAGACAGTTCGAGCATCTCACGGACAGACAGCTCAGCGCCCGCTGGCATCTGCACCCCTGTCTGCTCTGGGCAGTGGGGACTGCACCAGGGCGGCACCCTCGCTGCCGACTCCCTGCCCTGTCTCTCTCGTTCCAGTTTCTCTTGTCCTAACTCTGACAGTTACTCCCTCAGCTTTTCAGCACACTGTGCTTCGATGCCTTCAGGGACAGAGACCACCACAGGGACACAGGACAAGCCAACCCCTGCCCCTCAACCTGTTTCTTATGGCTACAGAGGCCAACAGGAAAGAAAAGCAACACAAAGCTTGGTCTTCAGTCTGTTGCCCATTTCCTTCATTCCTTACAACTCTGGGTCCGATCCCCCTCTGCTCCGTGACCATTCAGCAGAGTGGTGACAGAAGGAGGCTCAGCACTAACCAGACTAAAGCCCCTCACCTTCGAGACCGAGACCCTGAGATGAACACAGCACGACCTTCGGCTCCAAGGAGCACACCGTGGGTCTCCTCTGGTCACCACCCTGCACCTGCAGTCCCCAAAGCCGGGGCTGCCCAGGTAGAGAGACAGTCAGCTCCTAGTGGTCATTCCAAGCAACAAGGACGTCTCCAGGGCCATCTCGCAAAACCAGAACCAAAGTCACAGCCCTAACCCACCCTGAAAGCTTTTCCAACGGCCAGGCTGGTCCACTTCACAGAGACAAGCCCCTTCTGCTCCTCGGCCCCGAGCCCATCCCCAACGCTGCCCAGTCGATGCCCGCACCCCACTGGCATGCCCTACAGCACTGTTCTGCGACGTCGGGAACCCACCTGGGGGTGCCACTCGAAAGCACGGCACTGCCCAGAGTGCGAGGCCACCGGGGTCCCCACCTCTCCTCAGGTGGGCCTCCTCGTCCACATGCTCCTCACCGAGATGTGCAGCAAGGCCCCTGGCCTGCACCCTGCCCTTCCGTCCCTGGACTCTGCTCATTACATAACTCAAGCAGTGCAGGGTTGGTGGTCACCATCTGAGCCACCAGGCCTGAGAAAGGAGCAGGGTGACACTGAAGGACATGCTCAGCAGTCCATGCTCTAAGGGAAATTCTAGCTTCACTCGCGGTAAGGGCTAAAAGTTCAGGTCCACCACATTAATTCATGCTCATCGCTGCCTCTAGTTACATCTAATTTAAAGGTTACTGCTTTCCAAATGTATTCATGTGGTGGTGCACGCCTGTAATCCCAGCACTCTACTCGGGAGGCTGACGCAGGAGGATCACTGTGAGTTCGAGACCAGCATGGGCTACAAAGTGAATTCCAGGTCAGTCTCAACTACATAGCGAGACCCTGTCTCAAAAAAACAAAACCAAACAAATGTATTCTGAAACACTGCCATGTAGGTACAGGCGGATTAAAACTGGAGGAGGGAAACTTGGAAAACTACAACATACATACTAAGACATCATATGTACAGTTTTGTAAAAATCCATCCAAGTTACTATCTTCTCTTCTTTGCAGGGGGAGGGGGTGGCAGGAGATAGGCTCTCACGATACAGTCTAGGCTGGCTTCAAACTCAGAACGATCCTGCCTCAACCTCCTCAGTGTTGGGATTTCAGGCATGTGCCACCACGCCTGAGAAGACTCTCTCTTCTAACAACATAACAACATCACAACAAACAGGTCACCGGATAAATAAGTTCTAATGTGAAAGAAGAATTATTTCTTTGCATTTAGTTCGTCACTCACCTATCCATTAAAGCATCTTCCAGTAACGGCGTCACAGCGTAAATGTAGTCTTTGCCCATTTCACCAATATATTCGAACAAGAAGGACAGTGACTTCAACACCCCATTCTGAACATTGAGCTCAGGGACTCTGTACTCGTTCATTAGGGCAGGGAGCACTGTGAAGGGGGAGCATGTCTCGGCGACGATAGCTATGGCGACAGTTGTGCACACTCTGTTCTGCCTTTCCTGAACCTTGAGGTTGTTCAGAAGTGTGGCCAATACGTCGTGAGGGCTGGAGAGAGAGAGAAAAAAGGCGGTGGCAAACTATCACATTCCAAGTCAAAACTCATGCAGGGGAAAGTTAAATATGGAAAGGAATCGAGTAAGAAATCACTAGGAACTTGGTAATTTTATTTAAAAAAACGCAGTATTTTCAAGTCAGTAGCGTGTTGTTCCTGTCCCCCACACCACCCAGTACCGGGAATCGAACTCAGGTCCTTGCGCTTGCAAGGTAGGCAGCAGGACCATTGAGCTATATCTCCAGCCTGTTGTTTCAGTTTTAAATTCAAAAGAGGATTAATTTTCAAACATCATTTTCCATCTTCAAATGTTCTGAAGCGTAAAGGCATTGAGTACACGTTTAAGGGAACTCTGGGTGTCAGAACAGACACCAAAGATCCTGAGGCAGAGCAGCCAGAGCTCGGGCCTCACACGCAGGGCACTGTCCCTTCCTCCAACACTGCCCAGGACAACGGGCAGTGGGCAGTTATGTGTGCCGCCAACTTCATCTCAACACCACTGAAACTAGCAGCGATGTTAACCAAACACAGGAGAAAGAAGCGTGCATCCTGAGAGGCGGGGAGCTCAACCCCATTAATGTGACTTTTATTTCTTAGAAATGCTTTCTTAACTGACTAAGCCACACATTTTCTGAATCGCTATTCCACCTAGTCTGGTACTGATGGAAAAGTACGTAAGCACAGAAGGTCCCATAAAGCTGTAACTAACTTAAATTTATGGACTAACCATAAAATGACTTTTAAAAAAACACACAATATCCTAATATGTGACACAAATTATACCGTGATATTAAGAAACTGCCTTAATATTTTAAGCAATAGCCTATAAGGACCAAAAATTTGAAATCACTCTAAAAACGGGACTGTTTCCCTCCCTGAGGGTCTAAAGTTGACAAATGGATATTTTAAAGCCTTTTATGTAGTCTAATTAAATTTTTAAACTTTTAAATGTGTAAGGTCAATGGCTAAATGAAATGCTTTCTCAACTGCATCAATATTATACCTCAGGAGATTTCTACACAGAAGTATTTCCCAAAACCACGAGTCTACTGAGACATAAGAGTGGAAATACTCACCCAATGGCCTTTGCAATATAGCCAAATGTGTTGACTGTGGCTCTGCGAATAGCTTTCTTGTGAGCTTTCAGGAGCTCTAAAAGCTCAAAGCAAATCCTCATCCACTCTCTTGCAGACACATATTCAGCTCCCCTAATTAAAAAAATATATATTTTTGTGATGTTAAGGTTTCTGTGCACTGCTGGGGACAAATCCAGGGTTAGGGTTAGGGTTAGGGTTAGGGTACTCTCCCACTGAACCATGACCCAGGCCCTCCAAAAGTTTGAAAAGGTAAATGTGCAAATTCAGTTCCCAAAACACGAACATTAAACAAGTTATTACTACTCCTCAAAAGGGCTGATTTAGTCAAAACTATACTGTCAACTTTCCACTACTGAGCTGAAATGACTAAATGTAACATTTGCAACACAGCAAATCTACTGACTAAATGTGAGCCTTTATAAAATGTCAGGCCACCTTCTCACCTGTCAGCAATGCGCCCAACAAGGTCGATACAGTTCTCTTGCACTTTCTCATGCCTGTTCTTCAAGATGGGAGTAAGTCGGGGCAGCAGGTCCTTAATGGGTGGGGTCATCTTGTGCATACCTATATAACAGAAGTCAGCACTTCAGTCAGCGCTGGACAGTAACCTCTGGGCACTCATTCTGCCTTTTACTTCATAACGTACATGTGACTAGGCACAGATAGAAACTTACAGCTGCCTAAGGAGAGAGAAAAGCCCCAGATTCTGACCAGACTCAGAACTGTTTTTAACTTTTTATTAGGAACTTCTGATTATGCATAGAAATGAAAGAAATCAGTGAAGTGATTTAAAGAATGATGGGTACTCAGTAACAAAAAAAAAGGTTTTCTTTGGTTCTGAAATGTACTTATACACTGACATGTAATTATGGGGACAGCTTATGTTCCGGCCATACACAACAATGTAAGCCAGAGGCAGACATGTAAATTAAAGCAAAATTGTCCAGAAAGGGCCCCCTTACCCTTTAACTGCAAAACATACAGAGCTCCAGTCTCCCTGCAATGCAGGGCATACTTGGATGGGATTTACACCTACGAAGAGAGAAGAAAGGAGGCAGCTGGCAGGGGCTCTTGCTCTAACTAGAAGTGCTCACTCTGCTCTCTCGAGGGCTTTTCCTGTGTTTCCCTGCAAACAGCCTGGCTCACAACTTCCTGAAAAGCAGTGCCCCAAGAGTGGCCAACTAATTCTGGCAAGTCACTACCATTCTAGCAGACACGACTGGGCTGAATTGGGAATTACATGTAAATGTAACCAAAGATCCAATACATTGCACAAATGCTCCTTACTAAAATGAGAAAAACAGTGGCTACCACAGTCAGCTATTTTGACCTCGTTAGGTTTCTTCTGACCAAGGAGTTACTTCAGATAGCACTTTTGTTCAATTACAGTGAGATTAAACACAAGAAATCATTCGCTTGCTGTGCATGTCATAATCTGCGTTTCATACTCCCTAAAACAAAAAGCTCTGTTCTCTATATCCAAATATTTATAATATACTTTTTTTTTTTTTTTTTTTTTTTTACAGGGACCTTGCGCTTGCAAGGCAGGCAGTGGCACCACTAAGCTAAATCCCCAGCCCTATGATATAGTTTTATTTTTACTATGGGTTAGAAAACTGAATGAACAGGTTTTAAACTATGGATATAAAAAAGATCAGACAATGACTTTATCAATCCCCCTTTCTTCCTAATTATGTTCCTAGAACTGATAGCAATCAAAAACTTTGTCATCACAATGTACTAATCCAAGGTGGAAAAGGCACCTGCAATTTCATTCTAAAACTAAAATAAAGCTCCAGGGCTGCCCTCCCTCATGAACAGGACATAATATTTTTAGCAGACTCACTCCTTCTAGTAGCCCCTCTCCTGTGGCTGTTGCCTCCTTACCTCTCAGCTCCTAAACTTGCCTCTTTTTTCTATGAAGTATAAGATGGGCTTAATTAAGAATGTACAATTTTTGTGACTGCTTCTGACTTAACTACAATCTTGAAGAGCTTTTTTAGTAATAAAGATCACCCAACTCCTAAATGATTCTATATTTTACTTTCAAAAATAAAAAGTAGTTAAAAAAACAACAAATTCTTACATGACCAGCAAATTCCATACCTATTACATTTACAATGGCCTTCAGGGCTCCAAGAATGCTGCCCAATACTTCAGGATACTCTTCACCCAAATATTCATACAGCACGACACCCAAGTGCCCCATCAACTTTTCCTAAAACCGAAGAGAAATGTTAAAATGTCACTATTCACATCAGGCTGCTCAGAGAAGAAGCAGGAATGTGGTGGGAAAGCTTACCTCCTGGCAAGTCTTCATGACCACAGCAGTGCGAGAGATCAAGTCCGCTGCCTGCTGCCTGACTTTGGCGGATTTGTTGTTTAAACGCCACAGAACTGTACCGCAGATCTGAGGCAAGTACGGTTTGACTCGTTTCCCAAGTGCATTGACCACTGTGCCAAAGCCATTCAACATCACAGAGTCCTATAAAAGAAGCATGAAGTTGTAGTAAAAAAAAAAAAAAAAAAAAAAAAAAAAAAAACA